GCTGCCACCACGTGGCCAGAGCTGGTTTCAGTTATCGCGTCCCTTGAATTCAGCTTTCCGAATTGACGCTTCTGAGATTGTGACACCCTGATCCAAAATGCTATGCTACTCACCTTGGTGATATTCTGAAAGCAGCTCCGTGTCCAGCTTGTGATGTAGCTTGATTATAACGCATCAGGTCATGAGTGTTCAATTGGCGTACTTATAATCCAGGTATTGATTCAATAGACCACATTTTCTTAGATTGCTCTTGACACAGCAGACCTCACCAACTGATGCTGAGCAAAATGTTGGACTTCCAGCCTAGAACTCCGAGAAGAAGTCAAATGAGGTTTCTCCTGGCAGATCGGGACAAAGATATCACTGCTTAAGTAGCCTCCTTTTTAAATAATAATAATAATAATAATAATAATAATAATAATTTATAATAATAAATTATTATAAGTTTTCTCTTATAACACATAGACAAAAACACAAAAGAAAAACATTACATTTGACACAACATAAAAACTTAATAAAAACACACAAAATAAAAGATTTCCCCCCCTTCTTATACCCTGGTGTATTTACATTGCTAAAAGACTTCCTCGACACCCTCCAATCTGGATTTCATCAAATTACATATTTAGCAGTTCCCAATTTCATATTTATAACATCAGTATTTTCTTTCATTACAAACTTCTTAACCTTACTTCCAATTGTCATCCATAATAATCTTTATTATTAATCTTTGTCTATCCCTTAGCCTAATCTGTTACTTCTAGGGATTTCCGAATTATCTTATATTACAGTATCTCACTAAATATTTCTTAAATTTCTTCCAGTCTTCTTGTGTTTCCTCCTCTTTCTGGTCGCAGATTCTTCCAGTCAGGTCAGCCAGCTCTGAAAAGTCCATCATCTTCATCTGCCATTCTTCTATTGTCGGTATTTCTTGCAATTTCCATTTTTTTTTTAGTAGCCTCCTTTTTAGCCACAATCTTACCCAAAAGGTCCATCCTTTCAGGGAGCAGGCAGGGAGAAGCAGAATATCTAAGTGCACATGATCACAATGTGACCTTATGACCCTCAACAGCTTCACCCCTGTCTTTTTAATTATCCCAGTGACTTGAAATGTTTTAGACTGTGATGCCAAGAAAGGTATTTGATTTGATTAATCCAGGTATCCTCTTCAAAAATAATGCATTATCCAGACTCGTGAGGCAACCCAATGAGTCCCAGCACAACTTGAGGTCCCTCTTCCTTCCAAATCCTTGGTCTCTCTTCCCCTGACTACTCTCCTGACTTGGCTTCTAGCTGTTGATGTTACCTGGATGTCAAGATGGATGGATGACGCAGCGAGAAAACAACTAAAAAGGAGGCCAGCTGGGGGAGATTTATGCCATGGCTGCACCTCACCCACTGCAAATAAGGATGCTGTGTATTTCTGCATTTTTATGTTCTGTCTGTTGTACACAGCCCAGAAAGCTTTCCTTTCAATTGCTCTGTTAGCACAGGGAGAACACAGGTAATTGCAGGGATAACACAGGTTCACCTGACCTGCTGGAGCTACAGCATGCAATTGAGAAATTGCAATTCCTGTCCCCGATTTGCACCCATTGCTATTACGTGGCTAAGCGGTTGTGTGAAGCCTCACTTGATGCTCACTATGCACTGCTTGGTGGCTATATTTTTTGGCTCTATGTCTGCATACAAACAATTGCTGTGTTGTTTTTAATATTTGGTTGGAAGCCGCCCAGAGTGGCTGGGGAAACCCAGCCAGATGGGCGGGGTATAAATTATTATTATTATTATTATTATTATTCAGCAACTGTGGTATTAGATCATACAGGATCATTTGTGGATAATGCCCAGTTCTGAATAATGCCAGCAGTTCTGCATGCACTTGCCAGTGCTGAGAGTTCATTGCCAAAATCCGCCAAAAGTGAAATCCCAAGACTATGAAGAGTTCTTCAACGAGGGAAGAACAGAAAAAAAGGCAAGGGTTTGATGCACATGCAGCATGTTGCACTTTCGGATGTTTTTGAAACACCACCATCTGGCAGGCACATTAGGATTTTAAAACAACATGCCTTGCCATTGTGTGTGTCTGTGTAGAATTGTGTTCATGTTGCAACTGATGTACAAAACAACAAAAACTACAGAAGGTATAAAGGGACCCCTGACCATTAGGTCCAGTCGTGGCCGACTCTGGGGTTGCGACGCTCATCTCGCTTTATTGGCTGAGGGAGCCGGCGTACAGCTTCTGGGTCATGTGGCCAGCATGACTAAGCCGCTTCTGGCGAACCAGAGCAGCGCACGGAAACGCCGTTTACCTTCCCGCCAGAGCGGTACCTATTTATCTACTTGCACTTTGACGTGCTTTTGAACTGCTAGGTTGGCAGGAGCAGGGTCCGAGCAACGGGAGCTCACCCCGTCGCGGGGATTGGAACCACCAAACTTCTGATCGGCAAGTCCTAGGCTCTGTGGTTTAACCCATAGCGCCACCCGCATCCCAACAGAAGGTATAATAGGGTACAAAATCCAGCTTCCTGCTAATCTTACCTTTTTAAAAATAAATAAATAAATAAAAGGCAGATTTCTAGTCCTTGTGGTCTTTGAAAACTTGAAATTGTGTGGACAACGCCTGATAAAGTCTCAGACACCAGACAGGTTACTGAATAAGAGTTTTGGGGGTTGTGGGTGGGGCTTTCACATCTTTGGAATGCCCAGATGGAACAAACTTACAATGCATTTGAACAGAATCAGAACGTTCTGCAAAAGGAGTTATGCAGATGGGCTCAGTTTGATCCCCAACCATCTTTTCTTGGCAGTTTTAAAATGGCGTTAAATGTTTTTGCACAATCACTAGTAGGGCGGCACTTGAAAGAAACTCAGAGATTGTTTGGTGTGGAGAGTGCTCAGAGAGCACAACCAGGGCATGGTACAAATAACTATTATTATTATTATTAGCCTACACTAACCAGCAATTGCTCTGGACGGTCTCAAGGCAGAAGTATTTCCACAAACACAAATGGCTTTAGCCATTGAAGCCCCAAATCCATGCATATTTTACTTGGGAGGAAACTCCATTGAACTGTTGGGATTTATTTCCAAGTAGAAGAAAGCCTCCAGATCAGGACTGAAAACAACCCTTTCCCCCCAAATGGTGCCCAAATTGCTTTTGCTTCGTATATGCTGTATTTTATTGTATTGTATCGCACATTTAATTCCATAAAATGATGTTCATCTTAAGACTGCATGATACCTCCTGCAATCCTGCACCAATTTAGAGCTTTTCCACTGCTTCCCAATCAGCATCCCTCTCTTTACACACGAGGTGTTCACTGCAGCGGGCAAGGGCGGCCCTTCCCTGGGCATGCAGCAGCGAGCCATCTTAGCTGTGTCACCAGGTGGGGAGATTCACCCTTTCCCTCCAGATGTTGCCCAAATTGGTTGTTTTGTTTCCTATATATTCTATTCTGTTATATAACACATTGAATTCCCTAAAACGATGCTCATCTTAAGTCTGCATTATAGCTCCTGCAGTCCTGCATCAATTTTGAGCTTTGCCATCATGCCTACTTTCCCTCCCCACTGCACCCCACCCTGTTACTCTGCTTCCCCTCCAGTTCACTCAGAGAAACATTCCTGGGTATTCCCAATTCTTATTCACCATGCTGTGACTTTGCGGGTGGTGCTGATAAAGATATCCCTGAATGGCAGCTTTATTTCTTTCCCACAAATGGACCAGCGCTCCTGCCCACCCATTCCTGCATCCACACAGCTGCAAGACGTCCAGGAATCAGCATCCCAGAAGCTGACCGCTTCTTCTTGCATCCCTCTCTTTACACACGAGGTGTCCGCTACAGCGGGCAAGGGCAGCCCTTCCCTGGGCACGCAGCAGCAAGCCATCTTAGCTGCATTGACGGGGGGGGTGGGGATTCTTTTCTCAGCCAGAAAGGGGAAAGCAGGGGAAAGTTGGGCAAAAAATAAAATAAAAAATTAAGGTGCTGGAATGGAAGTCTAGAAGAAGAAAAGCACTGCTTCTCCCTGCAATCATCCTGTTAGAAGAAGCACTTTAACTTCCCAATCCCGGTTCCTAGGAAATGGGCGTGAGGAAGCTGCAGGTTCCTCATCCCTGTTCTAAAAAGCAGATGTGGCTCCCAGTACGTTTGCAAGCACCATTCACAGTGTGGGTCCTGTATACCTAAAGAAGGGTTGCCTCCTGGTTCTTTAAAAACAGAGTTTTAAAGTTCCATCCTTGACAGCAAACTTAGAAGGATAGGAATCTGGCTGCAAAACCTTGTTCTGAGTAAGTCCAGCTATGAAGCTAGCCACTTTCCCTCACTTTGCCCCACTTAGAAAGAATCAGGCATCAACCTGGGAACTTTAAAAATAAGCTTTATTTACTTTATAATCATGCATTGGTTCACATCAATAGTGGCATTAAAAACTGTGCAGGCAAAATAGTGTTATACAGTTGCCGGAGACCCCCCCCCCAAACCCCAGAAATACACAAAAGGTAGAATTCTGATAAATTGGGATTTCAATGAAAGTACAGGCTGCACAACTGTGCCAGACAAGGAATTCCTGGGCTGACTTTTGCAAACCAGGCTGGCCCGTCTAGCAAAGAGCAAATCTGTTAACACACCTGAGATTGCTGGGCACACGACCCAAGGCGAAGTGGGGATGAGCCCCAAAGGTATGGTGGGTACACAGCCTATGGTTTCAAGGGAAAGGTCTCTAGCAGGCTTTAGCTCACACAGGGCAGGAGCGTAGTGAGATTTATTTTGTATTATTTCTTTGCACCATCACTGCACGTGACCCTTTGAAAAGAGGCTCCTTAAGCTCTTAATTTGAGGCAAGGAGGCAATAGCGAAAGGCTGAGGGTCCAGGGTGGTCCCTGAGTCCAGCTGTAAGACAGAAGCCAGGATCTGTCAGTTCAAACTTCTGGGTTCCCTGGCATTTCCCATATGTACCCTCTGGGACAACACTGGGCCTCCAACACCACTGTAATGGTGTGGCGATGCAATAATTGGGGAATCTGCAGACAGTGAGAGCCCATTCACGTGGGAGCCCATACTGTATCCTGCTTCCCCCACAGGGCCAGGCCTCCAGGGATGAGGCTCCAGCTCCCGGGATGAAGGGCGAGAGAACATCCCGGCGGTTCCCGGCTGGCAACCCTCGCACCTCTTCCCCACTGCCCCTTCTCCATACGGGCATGGCTCCTTCACGGCCCTGTTTGGCGCAGAAGCAGCAGCCAAAGTTTCATCCCATTAAAACATCGTATTGAGTTATTTCAGAGAGGGAGGGGACTTTGGTTTCTGCTTCTGTACTAGGCCGATCGGGACGGAGCCCAGACACCCGTACGGAGGAGTTCAGGTTGGGGCAGCTAATAAGATCAGGTAGGAGGAAATGCCCCCTTCCCAGGTCCCCCCCTCCTGCCCCAGACTGGGGCTAGAGTGGCTGGGAGCCAGGTGCCTGCTGATGTCTCCGTTTGTTTTGCAGCGAGGAGAAGGTTCAGCCTGGGAGCCGCTGCATCACGGGAGGGACTGGAGCCCAGACAAAGGCCTCTCACCCCAGAGCTAGTGGGATAGGAGGAAGGACAAAGACCCCCGTACGGAGGCCAAGTGGGGAGAGCTGCAAAGATCAGGTAAGTGGAAATGCCCCTTCCCAGGTCCCCCCCCCCCTTCTGCCCCAGACTGGGGCTAATGTGGCTGGGAGCCAGGAGCCTGCTGATGTCTCCGTTTTCTTTGCAGGGAGGGAGCCTTTCCCCAACATATACTTTGTTCTGGTCAAATCCCTGGAGAGATGTGACGACCCTCAGGTTCTGGGGCAGAGGGAACAAAGGGGTCCTTCCATAGTTTTTGGCCCATCAGAGGCCCATTCACATATGATGTCCTGCTTCCCCCACAGGGCCACACCTCCAGGGATGAGGCTCCAGCGCCTGCTCCCGGGACGAAGAACAACAGACCATCATGAAGGTTCCCGGCCCCCTGACCCTCGCCTGCCTCACCCTCCGTCCGTTCTCCATGTGGGCATGGCTCCTTCCCGGTCCTACTTGGCGCAGAAGCAGCAGCCAAAGTTTCCTCCCATTAAAACAGCCTCTCAAGTTATTTCAGAGAGGAAGGGGACTTTGGTTTCTGCTTCTGTGCTAGGCTGGTCGGGACGGAGCCCAGACGCCCGTAAGGAGGAGGACAGGTTGGGGCAGCTAATAAGATCAGGTAGGAGGAAATGCCCCCTTCCCAGGTTCCTCCCCCTCCTGCCCCAGGCTGGGGCTAATGTGGCTGGGAGCCAGGCGCTTGCTGATGTCTCTGTTTTCTTTGCAGGGAGGGAGCCTTTCCCCAACATATACTTTGTTCTGGTCAAATCCCTGGAGAGATGTGATGACCCTCAGGTTCTGGGGCAGAGGGAACAAAGGGGTCCTTCCATAGTTTTTGGCCCATCAGAGGCCCATTCTCATATGATGCCCTGCTTCCTCCACAGGGCCACACCTCCAGGGATGAGGCTCCAGCGCCAGAATTATTAATGAGAGACCATCATGAAGGTTCCCGGCCCCTGACCCTTGCCTCCCTCACCCTCCGTCCGTTCTCCATGTGGGCATGGCTCCTTCCCGGTCCTACTTGGCGCAGAAGCAGCAGCCAAGGTTTCCCCCTATCAAGAACACCTCCAGAGTTATTCCGGAGCCGGGGGAGACTTGGGTTGCTGCCTCTGTGCCAGGCCGGCCGGGACGGAGCCCAGACACCCGTACGGAGGAGTTCAGGTTGGGGCAGCTAATAAGATCAGGTAGGAGGAAATGCCCCCTTCCCAGGTCCCCCCCTCCTGCCCCAGACTGGGGCTAGAGTGGCTGGGAGCCAGGTGCCTGCTGATGTCTCCCTTTGTTTTGCAGCGAGGAGAAGGTTCAGCCTGGGAGCCGCTGCATCACGGGAGGGACTGGAGCCCAGACAAAGGCCTCTCACCCCAGAGCTAATGGGACAGGGGAAGGACAAAGACCCCCGTAGGGAGGCAAAGTGTGGAAAGGCTCAGAGTTCAGGTAGGGGAAAATGCCAATTGAGTGCTGGAGTGGGGGGGGGAGCAGGCCTGTCTTGCCCCAGCCCCTCACCCCCTCCTTCCAAGCCAGGGGTCTGGCCATTATGTGCCCAGGCAGGAGCAGTGATCGTTGCCAGCCAGTGGTGACGTGGGCATGGGCAACATGGCAGGGGTGCTTGTTCTGTCCCCCTCCTTTCCTGGGTCAGCTGACCAGACACCCTCGCCAGCACTCAGGCTGTCCCTACAGAAGTTGGGGGGCTGCTCCCCCCCAGGGGTCCTATGTCTCCACCGCAGAAGGGCCCTGCCTCCACTGGCTTGCCTGCCCATGGGGGGCTGCCGGGCTGCTCTGTGCCAAACAGGAGAAGGAAAGAAGGAAGAGTGAGGAAGGGAGGGAGCTGGGAAGGCAGACTGGCGGGGGGGGGAAGAGAAAATATTGAGGGTGATGTGCCCCAGAAGGAAATCACTGGAGATGGCCCACGGGACCCCTGTCCCCTAGAGAGTACAATATCCTTCTTCCTTCACAGGGACGTGGTTTGGGGAAGCCGCAACCAGCCCAGCAGCAGCCCAGCGGTGCAGGGAAACCCACCAAAATCCGGATTTATGTTGTGACCTTGTGTGGCAGGGGAAGTGTTTCCCAGTGATCTTGCCAGCTGGAGGAGGAAGGCCTGATTTAGAGATCCCTATAGTTTTATGGAGAGGGTTTCTCTGTGGTCCACCTGGCCAGGACAAGGAGTGGGATCCTTTGCCAAGGCTGCGCTGGGGCAGATTTAGGATGGCACGACAGTGGCGCTCACGCTGGGCACCATGCTGCAGAGGGGGCTAAAACAATGCGGGAGGGGTGCCAAATTCTAGGGTGGTACAGGCAGGGCCGTAGCTAGGGGGTGGTGAGGTGGGCCCCCAACAGGGGCGCAGGTGAGGGGTGGGGCACAAAATGGGCTCATAAATATGTCCATAAATATGTCTAGATATACAGATGATAATAATAAATATTATCATCTATATATTTATCTGGAACTCCTCCAAGCAATCAGAATAACAGCTTGTTTCTTCCTCAGGCGAGAGGCCCGCCAGAACGAGGGGGGAAAGGCTCCCACTTCAGGTAAGTGGAAATGCCAACTGAGTGCTCCATATTTTAGGACTGGTGCTATCATCTGGGATCCAGGCGCTTGCTGATTCCTCCGTTTTCTCTGTAGGCCTTTCCCCAACGTTTACATTGTACTGGCCAAATCCCTGGAGGGACGTGGCGAACATCAGGTACTGGGGCAGCAGGAAGGGGTCCTTGTGGAACTTCTTTTGGGGGGTCATCAAAAATGGGGCAGTAGTTTTTCAGCCGCTCCAGCCCCTTCTCATCAGATGCTTCCTGCTTCCTCCACAGGACCACACCTCAAGGAATGAGGCTCCAGCGCCTGCTCCTGGGACGAAGAACAACAGACCATCACGGCGGTTCCCGGCCCCTGATCCTCGCCTGCCTCACCCTCCATCCGTTCCCCGTGCGGGGGCTCCTTCCCGGCCCTACTTGGTGCAGAAGTAGCAGCCAAGGTTTCCACCCATCAAAAGCACCTCCAGAGTTATTCCGGAGCCGGGGGAGACTTGGGTTGCTGCCTCTGTGCCAAGCCGGCCGGGACGGAGCCCAGACACCCGTACGGAGGAGTTCAGGTTGGGGCAGCTAATAAGATCAGGTAGGAGGAAATGCCCCTTCCCAGGTCCCCCCCCTCCTGCCCCAGACTGGGGCTAGAGTGGCTGGGAGCCAGGCACCTGCTGATGTCTCTGTTTGCTTTGCAGGGAGGAGAAGGTTCAGCCTGGGAGCTGCTGCATCACGGGAGGGACTGGAGCCCAGACAAAGGCCTCTCACCCCAGAGGTACTGGGACAGAGGGAAGGATAAAGACCCCCATAGGGAGGCAAAGTGTGGAAAGGCTCAGAGTTCAGGTAGGGGGAAAAGCCAATTGAGTGCTGGAGTGGGGGGGGAGCAGGCCTGTCTTGCCCCACCCCCTCGCCCCCTCCTTCCAAGCCAGGGGTCTGGCCATTATGTGCCCAGGCAGGAGCAGTGATCGTTGGCAGCCAGCGGTGACGTGGGCATGGGCAGCCTGGCAGGTGTGCTTGTTCTGTCCCCCTCCTTCCCTGGGCCAGCTGGCCAGACACCCTTGCCAGTGGGTGTACTTTGTTCTGGCCAAATCCCTGGAGAGACGTGAGGACCCTCAGGCACTGGGGCAGAAGGAAAGAAGGGGTCCTTTTGAAACATGTTTGGGGAGTCGTAGGAACACTGTCCCCTGTGGCTGTTGCCCAAGCCGCCCTTATAAAAAGAACAGGTAAGAGGAAGGAAAGATTTCCATGGGACTAGGAGAACACCCTACAAGTTGAGTGTCAACAGAGAATGGAAGAACCTTCTTGCATGAGAGGAGAAAAGAGGTGGTCTCGTCCAGAAGTGGATTCCTCCACAGGGCCACGCTTCCAGAGAATGATCTCCATCGCCACTTCCCAAGCTGATGGACAATAGCAAAACTCCGTCATCTGTGGCATTCCAGACTTGCATTTCTGGATTGACTCCCAAAATATATGAACAGGAAAGAGCGATCACAAGCACCAGCTCCTTGATTAAGCACTTCTCTCAACATTTGAACTTTGATGTGAGTAAGCAGGTCTCAAGGTGACTTCTGGACTAAGGCTTAATGCTGAAAATTCAGATTAATATTTTCATAGGGCCACGCTTCCAGAGAATGGTCTTCGTCGCCACTTCCCAAGCTGATAGACAAGAGCCAAACTCAGTATTCTGTGACATTTCGGTCTGGCTTTTCTGGATTGTAAAGTCCTTCCATGTCGCTGGAGGAATCTATGCTACTCAGTGCCTTGCATGTTTTCACGGATGTCCTGGTTGCTGTCTGAATGTGTCCTTCCCTGAAAGCGGAGAGCAGCATGACTGGCACATGTTAAAACTAAACAAAGAAATTAGAGCAATTGGTTGCTTTCGATATGCCAATGATCAAATAATATTTCATAATAAATAGTGTTAAAAAGGAAATAAGCTGTTTTCTGTCCTTCTCTGCCTTCTCTGACTGCTACTGCGAGCTCTGCTTAAGAAGGCTGGAGCCAGCTGGTTTTCATCAGCACTTTCTTCTTGGAGTCCTTGAAGCAGCAGGTGAAGTCACTCCCCCTTTTACCCTTCAGGCTGCTGTTCAGCAGGTGAAGCAGATTCCTGCCCCATGACACTATCCCACTCCCCAAGGTGCGCCTCCACCTGCTGGGTGGGTGCCAGCATTTGGGGAGCACAATGGTGGAAGTGATGGACCAACTGGGGGGAGGGGGAGCATCTTCCCAGAAGGATTTTCCATGAAGGCCATGAAATTGGCTGTAGAACCCAAATCTATCATCTTCTTCTTTGGCGATCACTCGTAGCCAAGTAAGATTGTCTTCCACGAACATGGTCTTAAGAGTGAGTCCATAATGGACTGTGGAGGCCAATTCTGGATCCACACGTCCTTCCACAGTGGGGACATATCTTTCTGGGTAGGAGTTGATGACAGTGAGTGTTTGCCAAGCGTGCCTTCCTCTTAACTTGTTTCTCCCTTTTGCCCTGAGTTCGAGTGTCTTCAAAGTCCACGACACCGTTTTGTAAAGGCTGTTCTCCAACTGGAGCACTCACAGGCCAGCGTTTGTTTACAGTACTACATTTCTTTAGATTAGCCTTGAGAGAGTCTTTAAACCTCTTTTGTTGACCACCAGGATTACATTTCTAACTTGCTTGGGAAGACGATAATCAGGCAAAGCCCAGGTCTGTAAAGCTGCTTTCCAGGTGTTTTCAGAGGGTGCTGTGAGGTATCTGGGCATTAGGAATACAAGCCAAGCCTGGCTCTGTGGCCCTCCTAAATAGGGAAATTCTGTTTCTGGGCAGCTGGCAGAGCCCCTCTTCGCTGGGCATGGGACTGCCACATCCCACGGCCTCCACAGGAGACTCACAGTCCCTCTCTGCGTCTCTGTTCCTTTTTGGCCACCGTCAAACGACTCTCATACTGGTCCTAAGCTGAAGAGCTGCCCAGCCCAACTGACCTCCTCCCTCCAGAACCCACCGCTCTCAACTGACTCTCAACTGCCTCCCCACCAACATTCAAACTCCCTTTCAAAGCTTCCTCCAATCGTCACTCTCCCCCAGAATTCCACACTCTCTCTTCCCCCCTCCCTCCCTGCTTGACATTCCCTTCGGAATCCGAATACCTTAATTACAGTATTATGCACAATATTGTTATAGATTTTGGGAGGATCCCACTAAACCCTGGAAATTAATAAATGGTGGGGTTTGGGATTATTTGGGACGTGAAGGGAGAAATACAAGCTGCAGAGGAATTCCTGGGCTAGCCTGTGCAAAAGGACCTGGCCAAGCAAGGGCCTTTAAGAAATATTTCAAGGACAAGGAGAGCCTAACTGGAAATGCAAAAGAAGTCCTTCTCCCTTGCCCTGCTGTGTGAACAGAGACTGGGGGGGGGGGGTTGGGATTTGAAAGGGATCCAGGATAATGGTATGTGGTGAGGAAATGATCCCTAAATGATCCTGGGAATTGTAGTTTGTCAGGGGTTTTGGGAATTGTAGTTCTGCAAGAGGAAAGCGGCAAATCACAGGAACATTTGGGGGACGTCATGTCAGTTAAATGCTCTGGGTTCCACTTTAAATCATAGGATCATAGAATTGTAGAGTTGGAAGGGACCCAGCTGTTTTTGGACTACAACTCCCATCATCCCTAGCTAGCAAGACCAGTGGTCAGGGATGATGGGAATTGTAGTTCAAAAACAGCTGGAGGCCCAAGGTTGGGAAACACTGATCTAGACCAACCCCCTGCAATGCAGGACTCTCAGCTAAAGCATCCATGGCAGATGGCCATCCCACCTCTGCTCAAAAACCTCCAAGGAAGTAGACTCTACTGCCCACTGAGGGATTTCTTCCCACTGTCAAGCAGCTCTTGCTGTCAGAAAGTTCTTCCTGAGGTTGAGTCGGAATCTCCTTTCTTGTAACTTTTAAAGCCATGGCTTCAGGTCCTGAGGGCCTCTGGAGCAGGGGAAAACAAGCTTCCTCCTTCCTCCCTGTGACGGCCCTTGAGATATTGACAGGGCTGCATGGTGTGGCTCTCATATCCATGTCCTGAGGGACAGAGAGCAAAACATTTCTCTCTCCCCTTTTTCTACCCCATGGAGAATTGCAAGGGGTCAGTGCATCTGGCTGGTAAGAAGAGGGTCAGAATTTGGAGCCCTGCCAGGGCTGGCTGTGGGCAGGATCCTGGCATTGTTGGGGGTTGGACTAGATGACCCTTGAGATCCCTCCCAACTCAACCATGCTATGATTCCTTCAAACAGCTAAAGGAAGGGGCGGGGGAGCAAGATGCAGAACCAGGGGAGGAACAACCACACACCCCAACAGCACCCTCTGGCCTGACCCACAGTGGCCTCATCCCAGCACACTTTGAAACCCCCCTCCCATTTTATTTTTATTAATTCAGCTGCCTGGTAACCCAGCAGCCTGGCTCCTGTTTGCCAGATGATGTCACAAAGTGCTGCTTTGCAAGCAAGCCTTATAGTGGCCTGCAAGAGGGATGCCTGTCAGATGATGGGGAGAGACTTACAGAGAAAAGTGTGCCCATCAGCTATAATGAGAAGGAACTGTGAAGGTAGGAGGCGCTCCGAGCCCAGATGGGAGATGAGTGGCATAGAATTATTATTATTATTATTATTATTATTATTATTATTATTATTATTAGCGTCATCCGTCACTGGTGCCTGTGACTTGGCTCACTGGCTTGACTTGTCCACAGCTCTTGACAGCTGGGCAGGTCCTCAGCTGTGATCCCTACATTATATTTACTGCTGTGAATATCTGGTTGGGTACTAGATTGAACCACATGGCCTTTCCATGCCTCTATTCTCTGAAATGTAAGGCTGCGGAAACATCTCACCTTGAAGTCACGGGGGCACTCCATTAAATGTAAACTTACAGACTCATTTTTCCTTTAAAAAAAAATAATCTAGATAATTTTAAAGAGAATTTCTCAAAGTTTGGGGATCTTGCTTCTGTGTGGGATGGGTTTTAACAGGAAGGAGAGTATATGTGAATTGAAATTAATCCCTCCAGATACCCACAGGTGTTGATGAATTGAAGGTAGAGTGAATGTTGGGGGGGGCATTTGAGAGTAGTGAGTTCTAGGAGGCACTTGGTGGGGGATCTGAAGCTGGGCAGTTACTTGGATGTCAAGACAGATGAATGATGCAGTCATTCTCCTAAAAAGGAGGCCAGCTGGAGGAGATACTGGTTTTTGCCATAGCTGCACCTCACCCACTGCAAATAAGGATCCTGTGTATTTCTGCATTTTTATGTTCTGTTGTAGCACCCTGCTTGTGGTTAACGCTTAGCTGGAATGAAATATTCAACGCAGCAACAGAGAAATTAAATAATAATTTATTTGTCAGACAAATAAATGAGAGGCACAGTGGTATATGGTTACCAAGCTCTGGCCTGGCCTCCTGCCATTATGGCCAGCACTTATATTCCCTTAATCCAGCCCCCTTTGCTCCTCCTGTGGCTGCCTCTGTCCCATCAGCCTGGTTGAAATTCCTATTGGCTGATTAGTATAACCAATCACAAAAATACACTCATATCCTCCTGTCCTTATAAGGGAGACAAAGAGCTATATATAAATGACAAATAAGTAATAATATATCTTACATGGAATCTTAATTACCAGCTCACCTCTTGCCCTCCTTGCCCTATTGCCTTCTAAAACAAATGGTTAATCTTAAATTTTTATCTTAAACATATGTCAAGGATCTTGAGTTTCACATCAATATTGAAAGATCTCCTTCATTTGAAGGTTTCTAAACAAATGTCTGACAACTTATATATCAGGATTGCTCGATTGGCGTCTCATTTCTGGCAGGGGGCTGGGCTCAATGGCCCCTGTGGTCTATTCCAACTCTAGGACTCTATGATTCTATGAAATAAGAATCTAACATCTAAATTTGTTACTTTCTAAATCCTTTGCATAGTTACATTTATGCCAATATATTTCATACATTATCATAGGTAACCTTAAAGCTTCTCAAAGTAGAAAGGAAGGAACAGTTTACAGCCTCAAAATAAAATAGGAAATAAGAAGCCTCTTCCTCTGTTCATACTCCCCCCCCCTTCTCCAGCCAGTTGCTTGTTTTCCGTGTGCCCTTGGCCTTTTGTCCTGTGGCTCAAGTTTAAGAGAGGCCCATGGTTTTATTTTACTGTTTACCTACCACTTTTACAACTTAGTTGTACTCTACAGCATGCAAGGTCAGTGACCTGCTTCTCAGCCTTTTTATGACCGCAATAAACCAGGGGGCCCTTTGCTTGCCAGCTGCTTGCTGGAGCCGCTTGCTGGTTTTCTACCTTGGAAGAAACATTATTTTTAGAATTTTAGGAACCTGATCAAAATATAAGCCAATATAAGTCTTGATTAAAAATGCAGTCTATATTCAGATGCCACATTCCCCCCTTTCAAGCTCAAGGACCTGGCTACCAAGCGTCCTTGATAGCTTGATCTTACAATGCCACATTCCTGAGGTAAGGCTCTATATAGTGCCATGATATGAGGTAAAGTTTCATTTGAAATCATCTTGCTAATTGTACTCCTAAAACATGAGATGATACATGGCACCATACATAAAACCATTATCTGAAATGTTAAAGCAACAGGCATTCCCTGTCAAGTTCAAGACTCCACACAGGCCTCCCTGCCTGGCAAGTCATCCAACTGTCGTGCAATAAGTCTCAAACTCTGGGCCGTTGCATTGGTTACAAGTTCCACTACTGCTTGTAATCGAATTATTCTGTTTAGATTATAAATAGGATCCCGTGCCCCTTGTATGAGCTCACCAGGATTCCAGGAGGCAGGATCATAATAGGCTATTATGCGCTCTGGCGGCCAATCATCAGTACCGCTCCAACTTTGGGTACTTCCTCCTGCTATACGAGAAATATCAGCATTTCTTCGTGTTCGCTTGGCTGAACTAGTGGGCAAATCCACATTGGTGGTAATACCCATCCCAGGAAACAAGTCCCACTCCATTTGGAAGGGAGTTTCTTGTATGCCCATTCTCCACATATCCACCACAACCATCGGGTCTGAGGTTTTTGGTATGTGGAGTGCATAAGGCGAAATATCAAAAGGGGTATAGAGTTCACAGTGCAGTATGTTAGATTGCCTTTCTCTGTCACAGTTATGT